GGTTTTTTTCTAAAAGAATTCGTTGATGGTAACCAGCGATATAATGCAAATATATTTAAAATACCTATTGACGGTTTACTCTCGCACATTGCAACCTACAATAAACTTACTACCGCCAAACTGAAATTTTCTCCTTTAATTTAGTTTTTCCTTAATAAAAAAATTTCACTAGAGATTTTTGATTAGGTTTTGAAACAACATTGGTTTGGACTATGCTTGATTTAGACTGCGATGGTTTATACTGTGTAGGATTCGTACTATTTACATTTTTGCATCAAATCGTTTGGTTGTTATGAAATCACATTTAGATTTAATAATTGCTCCGATCCAACTTTGCTAACTTCTTCGGTACTGATTTATTCTGTAATTGGTTTGGACTGTACTAGTTTAGACTGCGCTATTTTTATGATGTATCTATTTTCTGTTTTCCTATACAGTGCCTACTGATGATGTTCACCATGATCCGATATTCATCATTGATTCTTTGGTGGGTCATAGTCAACAAATTCGAATTAATTTACCCCCAAAAATGAAATACGACATGCTTTTATTTCTTTCGTATGTTTTACACTGATTTTAGGAAAACATGTTCTTAAAACAAATTTTTCCCTCTAATACAATAATCAAACCTGTCATCAATAGTTTATAGTTGCAAAAAAAAAACCTAACTTACGTTAATAGATTTTAAAACATTTAATGATTTTTGTATGCAATTTTAATAAATGCTGTTAGTCTACCATTTATTTTTTAAATATTTTTAATCAGAGCATACAAAGGTCATTGCATTTTAAAACGTTATAGACGGTAGGACACTTGTATACACGAAATATAATACACCACGGTTTTTTAACTCGAGACAATTTTCCGATAAATTTACATATTTATCAACGTGTAAAAATTCTAATAGACCGGTGTCCCACCTCCCTCACCCAATATACTCCGTTTGCACTATGCCTCGTCCAAACTATACTGGCTTTTATAATTTTGCTTTTGTTTTAAAACGTTTTAAACACGCCTTTTGCTATCAAGTGAATACAATATTGTATTTATGTCTAGTCACAAACGTTTTCAGTTTTAATTCGCGCATATTACAGTCATAAAACAAATATTTTACTAAAAGACCATACAACGTAAATTTGATGGAAAACCCTATCCCACAACAACTTCAAATCTAAATTTCACCAAACCTCCAAATATACCGCAGCATTTTTTTACTGTAGAAAAACAGTGTATTCTAGAAAGTTTATATTGAATAGTTATTTTGCATCGACAGTTTTACAACGAACCGTCTAGTTCGCATCGAAGCATTTGATTGTGATGAAATCACATTCAGATTTAATAGCTGCTTTAACCCAACTTTGCCAACTTCATCTGTACCGATTTAAACTGTACATATTTTGGCCTGTACTGATTTAGACTCAACTGGTTTATACTTAGCTGGATTCGTACACTTTGCAGAATCACATCGAAAATTTTAATTGTGATGAAACCACTTTCAGATTTTTTGTCTTTGGATATATTTTGTAATTAGTACATTGGTGAATGACTAATATGTAGGTAATTGTTTGAACAAGCACAGAAAACATTGCATTAAAATAGGTCTTCTTCTTATTTCAATAAATAACACTAAACGTGTTTCTTAAACGTTTCCAAGTAAGAGAGTAAATATAGATACAATTATTTAGATAAGCAAGGCGAATGATAAAACCATATACGAAGGGTAACCATCCAAAACGTTGTATTTCCAAAATTTAATAAATTGAGTTAGACATTAATTCGTATTGTAATCTAAACGAGGAATTCATTTTTGGCACTTTTATTATTCTGTTCAAATTTTATAGCGTAGAATCAAAGGATTTAAAAGTTGACGCTAATTCAAAACGTGGTATCGCCTATTTTTAATTTTTTCAAAATGTAATATTTCCATTTCGCGTCAAAACGTATTAATTCCTATGTTAGAAGTATACAAAAATCTTTTTAATGATGGTATTTCCAATTGTTTTTCACACAACGGGTAATTTTTGCTGTTGGTTCAAAATGTGCATTTTCTTTAGTATCAATATAAAATAATGTTATCTTCTACTACAAAACCTGCTATTTCCTTATTGTCTCCTTTTGTTTGGCAACCTTTAATGTTAAAGCAAATTATTAATTTAGTTGACTGAAATCTGTACATTTTTCAATGAGGTTCTATAAAATACACTTGCTGGTTATTTGTTAAAAAAAGCGTGTTCAAATTCAACTAACAGGTTGGTTACCTACTTGGTTATTCGTGATAACATTTTGAGCTGTATGATATCAACGTATACGATGTGTGATATTACAGTCAATATTTTCGTTTAAATTGTAAATATTTACATAAAAAAATATTACTTTATTACATATTATTAAATAAAATAAGTTAGTTCTTAATTAATTCTGCTTATCAATATTAAACTGCGCTATTTCCAATCTGTTTTTCAAAACGTACTATTACCGGAAATAGTACGTTTTGCGTCAAACTAAATGAAACCAAGTTTAAAAAATCAACCAGGTAAGTGTAAATAATGAAATGTTATTTAAAAAGTTGAATCCTTTCGCTATTTTACTTATTCTACTATTCTACTTATTTATATTGTGGTTGATACAGATAACTCGATTTTCTGAAAATTGTCATTTTTGGAAATACAACGTTTTGGATTGTTACCCTTCATACAAATTTTAAAAAGGTTTTAAATAATTATATAAAATGAAATAATAAAATTTTTCATGACTTGATGTCGACATTTTTAGGTGCTTTAAAATTGCAGCAATATGGATAAACACAATTAGGTAGAGCTCGTGAAGGCAAAAAGAGGACGGGGAGGTCACAAGTTTTTAGAAATATTATTACAACTAAAAGTGATTTTATCACTTTCAAGGAAGCGCTTCGATGTGGATGGTACAAGTAATTAATATCGATACAAATAATTTTAAAGGCAAAAATTCGTTTAAAACTGAACTAAAAGTGGTCTTGAAAAAGTTTGAATTTTATTTTAATTTAGGAGTAAAACGATAAAGACAATTCTCGATTAGGTGTAGTACTTTGAAGTGAGTAGCTGCTATTTCGGAAATCTAAAAAACCCAGGTGTTTGACCAATTCCATGAAAAAGTGTTTCAACAGTTTTATAATTGTCCACGGACAAATATTTAAGACGGTAGTGACTTTTAAATTGATGGGAAAATAACTAAATTAAGATTACTTTAGATCAATAATTTTTTTTTTATGCATTTTGATTTATCGAAAATATTAGAATAACAGGTTTTAGTAATACATTTGATAGTACACGTGTAATTTAATAAAGTGTTTGTTTTACAACGATTTATTATTTTGTTTTCTCCATCGATGAACAAAAATTAGTGTAAGAAAACGAATATAGCCAAATAACGACTGAAAACGCATAATAATTTTCTTAGGGGTATCAATAGAACCTTGATGGTAGACTTTTTAAACTTAAACGGTAACATAATATATACATATGAATGTGTTGAAACTTTCGTGGATTGAAATATCATGCGGATGAGTTTCAGATATATCAATGTCACTATTTTTAAGCCGACGTTTAGGACTCTTTGCAGAGTTCATCTTCAGGGCGATGATAGTCACGACTATTTATGCGTACCGACTAATTGATACCGTGTTATCTCGACCAATAGGGATCACCATATTGGCATTTGTGCCTGCGTTTTCCCAAAATAAACAGATGTCGACTATAAAATGAAAGACAAATCTGCAGTAAACTCCGGACATACTATCCAGTTTGACAAAGCAAAAATACTAGACAAAGAGACTAAATTCGGGAAAAGAATGTTCAAAAAGGCAATAGAAATTGAAAAGCCCCACTAAAATTTTAATGGAAAAGACGATTGGAAAATTAGTAACCCGTGGAAACCCATTATCCATCTAGAAAAAATAAAAATGCAATTTTCTCGATAATACACAACTTGGTACTCCAAACACCACAACTTTTGTGTGACTTCCTGTTAGCTAAGTTTGTCATATTGTACCAGTAACACTAAATTATTTAAAGTTTAAACGAGGTCATGTCGCTTTCTTGGCCATTGGGGTTTCTAATTGCATTAACAGTAGGGTTTTGGCAAAAAGGCGATTCGTGCGCCGACTACAATGAATTTTTTTTAATACAATACATTTTGTATATTTAAGCGTGTGTAGCTCACATGATCATCAAAAGCAGTATGTTATTTTCCATTATTTGCTAAAATATCTTTGATTGAAGTATACTGTACGACAACAAGTTTGGTACGTTGCTTTTTTTGGTACGACTAGAAAAATAAAATGCACAACTCAATACTGTAAAAAAGTCGACTACCGAGTGATTATAGAAAGTACATTATTGCTGGTTCCACGATATCTTCTAAATCGCTATTCCTGGTTTGAACATACTGTCCTCAGATTAGCATCGAAGCGTTTATTTATAAGTGATTTTATCACTTTCAGTTATAATAAAATCTGTAGACCTGTGACCTCTTTGTCCCCACTATGCCCCGACCCCACTGTACTGGCTTTTTAATATTTGCATTTAACAAAAAACAACTACCTTTAATTCTCTCAGACTTCTAGCACATGTCCATAGTCGCACTTTTTACCAATGTGTATAGAACGAACGATGGTTTTGAACGATGCGAGCAAATAAATCGCCACATTATAAAAAGTAATTTAGAACATTCTAAACACCGAAGAGTAAAAATAAAATAGAGAAAGGGATATTATAGCTTTGTTAAATCAATGCTTAGATCAATATAATACACTCATTTTATTTAATTCCGTCAGCAAAAACAAATAAAAGTTTTAGATAAGCGTAGTACGATTTATGTAATAGGTATGTGGAAAAATAACGTTTACAAAATCATTCGTAAATCAACTAAAATTTAATTATTTTATAATTTTAATTATAATAATTATTTATATATTTTTTAAAACTTTTGGTTTTTCGAGCCGGTGAAATTAATTTCCACCGCGTCGATTTTAATTATCATCCTCAGTTCCTTCGAGTTTATCAAAAATAAGTAAAAGTCCTGACTCAGGCACTCCTTGGTTTTCAGAAGGGGCCAAGAATACTGCTTGTGTTTTTGGAATACGTCTATATGTATAGGTTCTTAAAACACTTCGTTCAAATCTAGTTATAGCTGAAGCTAATTCAGGAGGCCAGTTAATTTGTTTACTGCTCTTAAGAAGATCTCCCAAGATAGTAGATGGACATCTACTATAAGCTAATCCGGCCCTTGCATTTTCCTTCAAAAATAATAACGGTTAAACACGTTTTTGAATGATGTATTTTGTACAAAAATTACTATTTGATTATTCCTAGGTGTTTTCGCCAATTTAGTCCAATCTATATAGCCCTGTTCTTTTAAGACTTCTAGCCATTGTGCAATTGTTTCATACGGTTGCGGTACTTCGGTCTAAAAATTATTATACGGTAATGAATTTAAAAAACAAATACTGACTAAGTGCGGACAGATAAAAAATATTTTACAGTCTGCATAATCTCTTAACGAGAATAAATTTATAAGTACTTATTCATAACAGAATTTATTTATTATACAAATAGTTTTGCATTTAATCGTTTAAAGTAAAGTATGTATCAATTTTAAAATAATATACAGGGTGTCCCACAAAAGATAAGACAAGTAAAATAACTTTTCTCCTAGTGAATATTTAAAAAAAAATTGTGTCCCACAAAAGACAAGACAAATAAAATAACTTTTCTCCTAGTGAATATTTAAAAAAAAATTGTTTCGAAAATTAATTTTTATTCATTTGGGCTATAAGCACCACGTTTTTTATTGCAATAAAGGAGATTGCATGCGGTCGACTTTTTCAGTCAATACACATCATTTTTATTCTATTACACAGACCGAACCAGTGATCATAAGTACTGGTAAAGTAAACTTCATGACGAATTCAAATCTGCTTTCAGATAAGATTACTTTTTGAATCACTGGTTCAGCTTGTGCGATGGAACAAAACATGTTTGTTATATTAACTAAAATGTTTTTTACTCACAGGCAAAATAATTTAAATTAAAAATAATACCATGAAGCTTATTCAAATTAATCGGTAAATTAATTGACATGATCGAAATTTATTAAAACCACTTTTATCTTAAATATTGCCTATTCAAAACTCCTTAAAAACCAACCGTATGTAATCCCCTTAATTAATTTACTTTTTTAAAAAATCCAAGATAGTATTAAATTAAAAATTTAGTAAAGTTAGGTATGTATTAATTTAAAACAATTACATTATTATCCACATCGCTAACCTCGTCCGTCTGTAACAAAAAAGAAGCAATTACAACAGCGGGGTTGGTGCATGAGGGAACGGATCATATATGGGTCAGAGGTTAACATGAATTATTACAACTGAAAGTGATATAATGCTGATGTTTTTAGACACTATGAGAATAATTTCAATTAAAGTGTAATTTTCTACTTTTATTGTTCTTCCTTGATAAATGAATAGTTTGAATACGAACTGCGTGATATGTTATAGCCTCATTCTAAAATTACCTTCAGTCTATTTTTTAGATCTAAGCCCTAAAACTTTATCTACAACGTAGGTGTAGTGATTTTAGTTTTTCGATAAGTTAATCTATGTGCCAACAAAAATGTTTTTTCTGTTTTTTACATAAGGCAACCAAACACATAAGGCCCTTATAGCACGCAGATATGTTTAACTCTAACCATCGCAAATAGGAGACACCGCCACTTCACCCCACCTCATTACACACCACACGAACCGTTGCCGCAACTTAGGCCAAACGCACACGGTACGCCGTTGACCTAGAAACCGGCAGATGTTACCGGCTACACAATAACCGTCGATAACTGAACAGCGACAAACAAACATTGCCACGGTACCGGAATAATCGTAAAATTTTTACACGTAAGAATCAAAGTCTAGTAGCGTTGGCGATCCCTTCGATATCGCGGTTAAGAACCAATTGTCCTCCCCCAGTCTAAAACAAAATAACTCTAGCAAACAGCCCAAAACATGTCCGTTTTAGTACTGATTTCGGAACTTTGCCATCGGAATTCCAAAATATATACATAACGTAACCCCAGACATTGCATTTTATGTCGGACCTGCCAAAACAGCACCTCCCCTCTAACTACCCCACCTCCCTAACACTTTAAAAAATTACCGGAGATTATGCTGCACGACTAGCAGTTCCGTCATTTTTACCGCTAAGATAGCTGACTCGGAGACTCGTTTCCATGCCACTATCTTATTGTTAGATACCGAATTACTCTGATGGGAATACGCCGCAGGTACAACTAACTACTTGCTGGAAGACGTAACCGACCCAGGACACCGATCATAACCGAATAACCCCATCCTAGCTACTCAGAATAATTTTCCCTATATTTCGTATTTAGATGAACAGTATCGATGACGGACGCGGCCGCAGTTAGAACTTTCATTGGCTGTAATTTCGAGAAAAATTGTCGGATCTAGTTGAAATTTACAAGGAATATTTATTTCGTATGCCCTCATACGTCATTAGTCTCAAATTTAAATTATACCCATTTTTCTTTCCCCTAGAGGGGTGGAAGTTTTTTTGTTTTTGAGGGTTTTTAGCCGTAATTTTAGGACCTTTAAGTTGAAAAATTATCAGTAGTTAGAATTAATATGTATCCATAACACATTAAACGAAGAAAAAATTCAGCATACAGTTTTTCTTTAATTGCCGGAAAATTGTGTTTTTGGCAGATTGCATATGTTTTAACAAAAACACCTAAAATCTTAAAAAAAATTTATCAAATCATTACAACAACTTTATATATATCTATGCAGAATGATACTATGAAGTTTTGATACTCAAGTACCACTTTTAGCTTTTAATTTAATTTTTTTTTTCCAGTTTTTTTGGCTGAGTAAAATTGAAAACTGATGTTAAATTTGTAATCACCGACCCTAAAAAAATATAATTTGACCACTTTTGAAGTTTTTTACACAAAAATCCAGAAAAATGTTTCAACTCCGATGCAGAGCTATGTGCAATATTCTATAGGCTTTGTGGAGTTATCATTTTTGAAGACTATAAAATATATTGTTATGAGTATAGACTATTCATTTAGGTAGCAAAAAAAAAATCTACCACGATAGGCGGGGTGCGGGATGACATAATATAAAATGCCACGCAGACTTACTATCTTTAGTGCGCGCGATCATTCATTTTTGCATTCCCGAAATCAGTATAAAAAGTACTATCTATTTAAAAATGTTGTACACTAAAGTATATTTACATCCGCAATTTAATTATATTTTAAAATTGCTGAGAAAATATGTATACTATGATAAAATTACTTTAATTTTTTATTCCAAGAATGCAAAACATTTTGTGGAGTTATGAAAAACATAAACTATACTTTGTACCTACTAAAAAAAAAAATTAAGAGACAATAATCGATTATATTTACCAATGTACCACCTGGTTCACAACATCCACCAGCGTCCACTAAAACGTTAAAACACGTCAACAAAAATACAATTTTCCAAATCATTTTTCGTTTATCTATTGTGAAATACCTGAACACTAAGAAACAACTAGACAATTAAAAATCAGGAACAGCACTGAACATTTGTTAGCATTAAGTATATATAACAGCTTGCATGTTTTTTTACTGTAGCCAACCATTCTAATAACATCTGTTCTGTTCTGTTAACATTGTGTTTCAGAAGTACGTGTATACAAACATGAATTATGAATTGCTACACGAAGGAATTGGTCCAGTATCAAAAAATGTACAGTGTATACAAATACAAATAAAGCCCACATCGTTGTAAAACCAATAGCATCGCTGCTCCGCTTCGAAGCTAAAATATATTTTGCTCATTTTGAATTATTGCGTATAAAAATCATTTATTGCTTGTGCTTTATGTTTCAGTACACAGCATGTAAACACATGCTTTCCTGTTTTTTTTACTGTAGCCAACCATTCTAACAACATCTGTTCTTACGATTCATTTTTAATGTAGCTAGAAAAATAACACTGTACAACATTGTATTTCAGATGTATACAAACATGATCTATGTATGAATAAATGAATAATATGTGTCGGGGGTTAAAGTTAAATCGAAGCGAAGCTGATAGGCTATTAGATTTACTATAATGCAGGTTTGTTTTTGTGTCTGTGTGCACTAACTTTTTTAACACATGACCAATTTCTTTAAGTAGTAACTATTTAAATCAAACATTTTATCCAGTTAGTACTTGAGGGGGAGGTTGGTATAAGTTAAATAAGTTCAAACTCGCCTTAACTAACCTTACCTCTACCCGTAAAATTTGGAAAAACCATACGAAATTTAAATTTTAAATTTTCACAAAGTGATTTTATCACTTTCAGTTGTAATAATTACTCTAAACATGTGACATTCCCGTCCCCATTATGCCCCTACCCCACTATGCTCCATCCACAGAATACCCCAACTTTACTGTACTGGCGATTTATTATTATTATTATACATCATGGTTTGTACTACTATTAACGGTTTTCATTTTTTAAATTATTTTTAAAAAAAATTCAAGATGAGAATAATTTACTGAGAATTTTGACTGGTCGATAACCAGTTTTGGATAATTTCTTGTTAAAAATTAAAACACCTTCTGTCCTACACTTCAAACTTAAATAACTTTAAAAGTAAAGAAATTGATATTTTAAACCCTTTACCATAAAATAATACACTCCCTACTATAATTACTTTAATAGCAAAACTAGTTGTCGACCAGCCAACGTGTACAGCAAATTATTCTTAATAAAACGACTTAAAATCTTAAATTGAATAAAATTATAGCAACAAAAAAAATAAAACATATTTTAAAAAGGTAAAACCGTTAAGAGTAATACAAAATATGGTGATTATTGCTCAAATGAGTATAAATTAATTTAAAAAAAAACTCAATATGAAATAACTTAAAGTTATTTCATTGGTCAGGTCCTTGTGGGACACACTGTATATTGGCCTTTTCCATTGTGTCTTACTTTAGGACTTGATAAAAAATGAAATAATTAGGTATATTTGATCAATTATAACATGATCTTATTTAATTTTATGTTGTTGAACATAAAATAATAATATTTAAAAAAATAAAATTATTATTTACTTCCATAATGTTATACAGTAGTTTGAAGAAAAAAATAAATGACAAAAATATTTGTACCGATTAGTACCTACTAAGTTTCCTTTTCTCCGTTTAATGATAACTGTACTCTATGAACAAAATTAAATTATGAACTCATAGTCAGTGTAGTATAGTTTTAACATTTTTAACTAGAGTAGTTACCATCAGACTTTTGTTAACAATAATTTTTCAATCATGCCCCAACTTCTATTATGAAATGTATGTGTCACACACTAAAATTAAACTCAATTTAAATTTCCAAAAACTTAAAACTTAAAAAATAAAAAAATATCTGGTAAATTTATTAGGGACTTTGTTGAATAGGGCCCACGCTTTTCTTTTTAGACAAAAAATAAAGATCTTTAACATTATTTTAAATAAATTCTAGTTAACTTTCGGTTGTTTTCAAATTAATTGACGTTTTAAAAAAAATTTGCTACTATTAATTGATAAATTGTTCCTGTGGTAAAATTATTTTTTACTTTTTAGTTCACTTTTTTATTATTTTTTAGAAAAGCATGTTTTTAAAAAAGTTTTATTTTCATTTATTTATTTAATTTTAAATTTTTATCTAATTTGTGCGTACAAACGATAATTGTGTTTCTTGTCTTCATTAAATTTATAGCAGTATGAAATTTGACGTTTTAATTAAAACAACTGCCTTAGGCAAACAAGTGTGCGTGTCTGTTATTTCGCGGATTAAACTTACACGCTACGTGGCACAAATCTATATAATATCGACATTTTGGTTTTTGTTCTATAACAAGCAGATCATATTCATTTTGTTAAGTAAAAATTTTGATGTCTACACTATTGAACATGGAAGAACATTTTGTCGTTAAGTTTTTAATTACATTAATCTTTATATGCATGAAACACGAGACGAGGAGTAATGGCGCACTCTCTGATGAACTAGCGAATCATGTCAACTATATTTGCAGTGAGGAACATTGGAATGAAATGCGGTTCGTGTCGCTCCGCTACGAACTGGGCTGGATAAGTAAGAATGTTATTACTAGCAAAACTAACACTTTCAGTCCAATCGGTAAATTGAAAATGTTTCCTTACATAATGGGATGCGGTTATGGAAATATATTGTATCACTTCCTCTGGTTAACACTTCATACAGGCGATGAGTGTGGAAGTATAAAACAAAAGTTCGTCGCCGACGATTGTTGGAGTATACTCAAAGCTAGTCTTAAAAATGCCGATCTAACAATATTAAAACTGTTGCGCACACTTGAGCTAATACATTCTTCTGATGAAAGTATAGTCCCAAGTCCTTATTACGCGATTCTTTCATCGATTCACCGTTTTCTCGAGACATATGGCCCTAGTAGCAATTTCAGTGGCGGGGAACCAAATGACACAAGACAATCCACGGGTCTTCCTATTTCCTTAGGGAACTTTTTGGACTTGAACTGTTCGCCAAAACTCCGTTCCTACGGCGATGTAATAGACAAATTAAAGGCTGAATACCCAGAGAGAAACACTATATGTAACCGATATGATTTCTATGTAAAAAGATTGGATGTGTACATAACATACATAAACAATCACTTCCTCCAGCTTGGTTTTCATTACAACGCGGAAACAAACAAAATGACTTATACTACTCCTTCTCCAAGTGACTTAGATCAGTAAGTTCTGTTACGAGAAAACTCAAATAAAATAACAATTAAAATATAAATACATTTTTTTTTTAATATAATCATTGTAATAAAATACATTAAATATGTTAACGTGTTATGCTATTATAACTCGTGAGGAATAATTCGGTCTAAACATATTTTTTTTTTTTGGCAATAGGTAAAATATATTATAAACATTTTTTCTTTATTTACTAGTTTAAATGTATTAAAAAAATGTAATAAAAATCGTAAGTGTGTTTATTGAAACTGTGTTTTTATTGATTTATAATCTCTATTTTAAGTGTAGTAATTAGATTTTAAGTATGCAAATCAAACTGATTTATAGTGGGACACCTACTCCTATTTTATACCGTACAACAAAATCATTGTTCCTCAGCGTTATAACAACTGTCAAATGCAAATAATGTGTGCGTGTCTGTTGGTTTTTTGCGCGGAATATTATCTACAACGAAGCACAAATTAAATAAATTCAGACATATTAATTTTTGTTATAGACTGGATAGGTAATATTCGTTTTGTAAATGAAAAAAATTGAGTCCACACGCAGACAATCAATTCTAGAAGCATCCACCTAAATAGCAACAATACAAATTAATCCCATTATTACATATTATTTTAATGCTTTTATCAACTCAATAAGTTACAATCTACAGATTTGAAACGTTTATTTGATGTAATTTTTGTCCTACTTAGATATGTAAAATATGAAATATGCAAATTATAATAATGAAAAAAATTACAATGTGTTTGTATTACTAAATAAATAGGTTTGTTTATTAAATGGTAACGACGGTAGCTAAAAAAAATGGTGCTATTGGCAATGGTGCTAGGTAGGCTACGATAAAGCACACAGTGTTCGGAATACGAAATTAGCTTGCCTTAAATAATACCTCTTAAAATTTAGTCTATAAGACAGTACAATACAACGTTTCTAGTACTTAATATTTAGGTTATAAACAATATTAATTTTTCAGGATTAACACATGATGTGGATAGGCCATGCATCATAAAGAAAATAATAGTGCGGGTATGTCACATACGTGTGGGGTGTGTCATAATTGAATTATTTTAATTTAAGCTGTTAAAATCACTTTCAAGTAAACGCTTCGACGCTAAACTGTAATGATAGGAAAACAAATGTCGATAATACCGTTGTAATCAATGTTCACAATGTGCATAAAAATGTATTTTTAGTATTAGGGTGGATACGATTTTTGTGTTTGGATATTATTGTACAGAAAAAAAACAAAAAAATATTTTAAGTCAGTCACAACATGTTGTTACGAATTGCAAAATAAAACACCATTAATACAATCAGCAAAACTAATGGACACATACAATATAAATGGTATAACTTGCTAACTGGGTGTCACACATCAGTTGTAGTTATTGCAGTACTACATTGTAAATTGAATAATTAGGAAAAATATTGTATTTTATTTTTCTAGTTGTACGAAAAAACGAATACATGATAGTAGCCTAAGAATAGGAATACTTGAACTTTAATTGTTAATATTAAAGGGTAATAGTGGATCAGCAGATGGAGTCTGCACACATGAAACTACTTGCTGCACTAATAATATTCATTTGACGCCCTTTAGACCCTTAAGATTTACAAAAAGACGTTCTAAAAAACTAGTTGAAAAGTCTCAAAAAATGAATTAAATAAATATTTTCTGTAGGATTAGGTACCAATTTATGGTTTTTTTTTATGAATTAGTGGTCGGTGTTGAATTTTTTATTTACTATAAACCGTTCTGTAGTGTACACTTAGAATAC